GGAGTTCTTGGAGAAGATAATTAACCCGAAAGAACTCGCATTCACATAGAAGCGTAAAAATGATTATGGGAAGACTTCTAGAGTGGGAACAGTGTTGCGTGGAGAGTCATTTGGAGAGCTACTTAAAGCGTGTTGCAGGTTTCCTTTGTCCAGTGCCTGATGGTGAGAAGCTTGCGGTAGTCAATGCTTGAATGTGCCAACCGTGGGGAACAAGCTGATAGAATTTCAGGCATAGTGTGGACACTACCTAGGTTACTGGCTAAATTACGCGGAGGTAGCTCGGCCATTTTCTGAGCTATCGGGAGAGCGGGTTGCCGACAAAATTGCGTGGGCGGGTGGGGCGTCTCGGCGGAAAAGAGCCACACTATGTTAGGCAGGGCCATTGATTAGAGTAGATCCGCGACAATAAAGGGTATGATCACCTATGTTATAGGGAGCGGGGACGTCGACAAACCACAAGGCAGCCACGCATCACCCGATGGATCGCAAGCAGCTGCCAGGAAAGATACAAGCGCACCCGAGGAGTTTTGCGAATAGAAGCATGCCAAGGTAAAACGGCAGATAGCCGAGGAGGGCGCGGGAGCGGAAGGCATTAGAGAGTTTTGGTGCTGGGTACCCAAGCGGCTTGCGTACCCAGGACGATGGGGCGGCGGTATTACGCATGCGCGAAACCCCAAACAGATGCGTCGCGAGATCACTGGGGTGATGGGGCCATGCGTTCGCGTGGCATAAAACAACGCTGCCACCACTGGCCTCCTAGCGGAGATAAGCTGCCCTTGCGCACATGCTGGCGCATCATGTTAATCGGGATGTCACTCACCTTTACGGTGAGCCACAGTTCACACTCACCTTCACCGGTGGTGGATCAATAGTGATTAAATTGTTTCAGCCAGATTACCAGACCTCGAATGGCCTAAAATATAGAAACCAAGAACGTGCGAGCCCCCAACCAGCTGAATAGGTGGCACCATTTAGCGGGGCCATGGTGAACCAGGCAGTCACAAAACTGTTATTGCAGAAACATTGTTCATTGCACGCGTCGTGCGAAAACTGCGTGGTGGCGTTATTACAACTGAGTTACTTTTTTAATCATTTCACCTCGGAAACATTACGCGTAAGCCAGCGTGTTCATGAATGTGGTTGGACGAAGTGTCACAAGATGTGGACACCATCGTTACAGTAACCTTGTTTTTTTTTCACCTTTTTGCCTATACCAGTATACTGTACGCGATAAAAACAAAAGTCTCGTGATTTTGCCGCAACGGTGATTCAAAAATATGTAAGGTCAATGCAGTTAGCATCACCATTAATTTTTTGCGAGAACGTAAAGGTATACACGTTTACGTACGTACGTAAACGTTTAATAAAACTTGTAGCTGGGCGAGTTGGTTCATAATACTGGGTAAACTGGTGTGCGCACAAAAAACAGACAAACGACAGCAGAGAAGAGACAGGGACAAGCGCAGAAAATGACTCTGCGCTTGTCCCTGTCTCTTCTCTGCTGTCGTTTGTCTGTTTTTTGTGCGCACACCAGTTTACCCAGTAAACGTTTACGTATGAGGAGCTCAAAACGTTCGAAGACATGCGTTTCGGTAGGAAGGTAAACGTAAACCGGTAACAGGTAACACGTTGAAGTAAAGAAGTATACGTACAAGGTAAAAGTTTCCCATAGAGCCGATTCTCGGGAGACGATAATCCCGGCGTGAGGACGTCCGTTCTGGTAAGAATATCGTGGTTGGTCGCCACTTTTGACAACCAGCTAGGTGGCCCCCGGCCAGCGAAGTGCCAGCGGGTGACTTGAAGACATCCGGTGTATTAGCACCCATCCATTCGGATTAGAGTACGCGGGGCGGCTTTCACGTTGGAAAGCATAGTCATCTCGCAGTAATGTGGAGGGCCCACGGCCGAACGGTGTCACCACTGTGTGCGTTCTCACAGTTCGCGGAACGTAGTGTGCAGGCTGGTCCTTTCGTCTCTCTCTCTGACCAACAGGTCGAGAGCTTGAATAAGAGAGAAGAGAGGACGGCAACAAATGTGCTTAATCTGTTCAATAAAAGGACTGAATTGTATTGGTTGGCCGTGAAGAGAATTGGAAGGGGCAACCGAGGGGTTTAAACCTGTCTCCTATTTCTTCACTGTCGTTCTGGTCGCAGGAAAGAGTGCTCTGCTCAAAGAATCAGAGAGAGTGGGTAGAAGGCCGATATATATATATATATATATATATATATATATATAATATATATATATATTATATATATATATATTGTTAAGGCGTTTATTAGCCGGCAACCAGCGATCATACGCTATGATGACAGTGACGGTCAGCACGGCCTCCCAGCGCGAGCAACGTCTTTGTTGGGTAGCCCCACTAGAAGGTACTCAAGAGTTTGACCCATTTCAGAGTTCGGTGGCTTCGCTACAGTTACCTCGGGGTCGAAGAGGGAGCCGCCTGGTAACGTAACAGTTTGTTACAATGAGCGGGTCATAATAAATAAGCTTTCAGGCGCTTCACGTTGGCGATCTAGCACCCGCAGTGGCACATGTCCGCAGATTGTTCGACGGGTTCCATCATATAGTTGACCGGAGATCTGGCCTCTATGACACGGTAGGGGTCTTCATATTTCGGAAGTAGTTTGGAAGAGAGGCCAGCTACGCAGGTCAGGATCGAGGGCCATACAAGCGCACCAAGAAAGAACGCGAGCTCAAAAGTGGTGGAGCCGTTACGAATACACTTCTGCCGCTCTTGCTCATGCGTCGTAAAAGTCCTTGCAAACTCGCAACACTGTTCAGCAAGCCTGGTTGTCTCTGAAATAGGTGCACACTCAGATAAATCCGGCGTGTACGGGAGTATCGTGTTGATGGTGTGCGACGGGTGCCTTCCGTACAGCGACAAGAAAGGTGAAAAACCAGTCGTGCTGTGAGAGGCAGTGTTGTAGGCGTAGGTGACAAAGCGCGGTATATTATCTTAATTTGTGTGGTTGGCGGCGATGTATATCGAAAGCATGTCGCCGAGGGTGCGGTTAAAGCGTTCGGCGAGGCCATTCGTCTGTGGGCGGTAAGCATTAGTTTTGCGGTGGACAGAATTGCACTCCGTCAGAATGGCTTCGACGATTTCTGACAAGAAGACACGGCCTCCATCAGTGAGAAGCTCTTGGGGTGGTCCGTGGCGCAGTATGATCCGTGGCACAGTATGACGCAGCAGGAAGGACGCAACATCGCGCGCAGTAGCCGCTGGGAGAGCGGTGGTTTCGGCGTATCGCATTAAATGGTGTACGGCAACGATGACCCAGTGGTTACCAGCTGACGTCAGTGGAAGAGGTTCATACAAATATACCTACACGCCCAAACAGATGGTCAGGGCAAGGTAAAGGTTGCAGACCGGCATGCGACATGTGTGCTGGTGGTTGGCAGCGTTGGCAAGCGAGGCAAGAGCGTACGAACTGCTGTAGAGGTTCTTGAAAGGGAAAAGAGAAGAGAAAAGCGCGGAGCTGTTATTGTCTTTCAACACGAAGGCACCGACACTGGCCTGCGCAGGGATGGGAAGGGGGAGGTAAAAAAGGAGGAGAAAATTATGGGAGGAGGAAGGGCGCATTCAACTGTGTCACGCGGGGTACGCGCTGCCACCGGGAAAGAGAAAGCAGTCAGGCAAGCCAGCACGGGAGGAGAATGGGAGCACCACGTGACGAGCATCAGTGGAGGCGGGCGGAGCCACAGACGTAAACAAACAACACGTTGATGCGGGCCTCGCTAGAGGCACCTGATCAGATCGGCGTCACCGAAGAACTCAAGTGGGGCCTCGAAGGCCCGCATAAGCCGAGAGCGGTGGGCCTGGGGAAACCGGAGGTGGTCGAGGCTCACGTATTGCAGCCCCAGACGTTCATAGGCGTCGAAGAGCCGCTGGCGTTGTTCAATGTATCCAGGGCACTCCAGAAGGATGTGTTCGGTCGTCTCCACCGCGAGGCATTTGGCACACGAAGGGCTCCCACTGTGGTGAAGCGAAATCGCCTCTCAGCGGTGCGGAAACATTCAGGTGCGAAGCCAAAGCAGGAAGGCACGCGCATGCCTGCTGATAGCCGGTCTTCGGCAGCGGGTCGCGGGGGGTTTCCTGTAGCCACACGTGAGTGTGGGTGTAAAGCACGCACTTGGCGCGCAATACGAAGGTCGCAACATCTTCCGCGCGGATGAAACGCTGAGACGGGTGTGCTGGGTGGTGAGCCTTCTTGGCGAGGGCGTTCCGCTGTCTCGTTTGCAAGTAGTTCCCACATGAGACGGCTCGCACTGGAAAACAACGTCACACCCACATCGGCACAATGACTACGAACTTCCGCGCAAGCCGTTGCGCAACGAGGGCGCCGCGCTCTGCACGCGCGAGTGTCAGAAGGGCGGCACGGGAGTCACACATCACTGCTGCCGACTGCGGAAGGAAAGTCAGCGAGTTGATTAGCCGCGGGATTAATCGAAGCAAGTTCAGCAGCAGTGGAAGACGCACTGATGGGGAAGCCGGCAGTTCTCGCGGAGGCCGAGGGATGGGGCAAAACAAGAGGCTGCCGCCAAACCATTTCCTGCAACCGAGCCGTCTTGTAGAGTAGAATTCGTCCGGCGAGCCGTTCCTCGATCATCGTGAGAGCCTCCTGGTGGAGAGCAGACTGGGGTGTGTTTTTCTTCAACCTCGTGCCGGGGATTGTGGCCATGATCCCGAGGCCGGGATCCTGGTGTGGCGGGATCGGGAGCCAGCCACAATGAGGCTGTTCGGGCACCAGCGCAGAGTACTCCAAGGGGTGCTGACCCATGCTCGAGTGGCGACGGTCGAGGAGTCGTCCAGCCAGACGTCGTCCCTCGGGCGTGAGGTACATGCGATGAATGTGTTGCACACGAGCTGCCTCTCGCCTGAAGTGAGAGGACGTCTCGCCAGCTTCCGTCAGGGTGGGGCCGATTGGCGACGAGCGCAGCAGGCCATGCAGGCGGCGTTGGACGCCGCGGTGAAGGGTGTACAGCCCGTCTCATTGCGCTGGTCGTAGCACGACGAGCGGGACCGCGTAGAGAACCCTGGTCGAGGCTACCGCATTGAAGAACGGGAGCGCGATGTCCGGGGAGCAGCCCATGCCACTGGCGAGGATGCAGGAGCCCATGCCGCCAATCCTGCGCGAGCCGCTGCGAATGGAAGCCAGCGCGGGCGTCCAGCTGAGCCGGTGGTCGATGTTAAGACCAAGATAGCGCACTCTGCGCTTCCACAGCAGCCGGTGGCCGCGAAGGACGAGCTTCGGGACAGCTCCGAAACGTCCCGAGTGCTTCGGGTGGACGAGCATCGCCTCTGGCTTGGTGGCGTAGAGCTCGAGCCCGATTCCCGTGATGAAACCGTCCACTGCATCAATGGCAGCCTGCGGTCCCTCGCAAACTTGATGACCACGAAGGCTGGGGCCACTGTAGAAGAGCACCACCTCGTCGGCGTAAACAGCAGCACGCAATCCATAGGCAGTGCCTCGCGGGATGTGGTCGATGAGGCGTGCGAGAGCTGCGTTGAACAGAAAGGGCTCAACACCCTGCCCTGCGGCACACCCGCTGACACTACCCGAGGACCCGCTGAGTTCACCGGTGACGCGCACACGGAAACACCGGTCACTGAGAAAAGCCTCAACATAACGCAGCATGTTCCCGCACACACGCATCTCACGAAGAGCGTCGAGAATGATGTTGTGTGGGAGTGAGTCAAAAGCACTTTTGACGTCGAAAAAAACGAGGTATCCCGCTTCCCCTCGGTGCTTGGCTTCCACAAGACGGCTCACGACGTCCGAGATCGAGTCCGCTGTCGCTCGATGGGGCTCTGAAGCCGGACTGTTCAGCCGCAAGAGTATCAAGGGCAGAAGCGATCCACTGGAATTGCCGGAGTGCCATAGCCTAGAAAGTTTTCCCGCGGCCGAAGTGAGCGAAACGGATCGGTACGATGAAGGCTCGAACTCCAGCTTCCCCGTTTGTAGACGGGAATCACCAAGGCTTTCCCCCAACGAGGATGGAAGTGCCCCAGGCTGGCATCCAAGTTTCGGAGCATATGATTTGTGATGCCATCACCCCCCGGAGCTGAGTGACGCCCCCCGTGAGTCAAGCGCATCGCGAAGCTCCCGGATGCTGAAGTCGGCCGTGCACGGCTCACCGATCGCTTCCACGATGGCTGGTGTGGGGAAGAAGTGAAACGGCGCAAAGAGTTCAGGCCGTGCATGTGGCAGCAGCGCGGGCACAGGAAGAGCTGCACTAATAGTGGGCGCACTCGCGAAAGTGTCAGCCAGTAATTCGAAAAGTTGCGTGGTGCTGATGCCGAGCATTACCGCGATGGATAGCTCCGGATGCCGGGAGACACGAAGCAGAGGAGGGCTCGGATCACGCGCCAGGCATGCCACTGGTAGCGAGGGTCGTCGAAAGTGCGGCAGAGGCTGGACCAAGCCACGATCCCGTTGTTTGTCGGCGTGGCGTCGACAGACCGCGTCGATGCGGTTGTAAACAGTTCAGTCCTCTGCCTTGTCCGAACGTTCCGCTCTGCGCTGCGCCCGGCGGCGAGCTGCGCGAAGGTTGAGGAGCTTAATGTCGGGCACTGGCGTGCCCGTCGGCAATCGTTACGCCGTCGTGGTGGCACTCGCGCACTGCACAATGTGTTGAAGAAAGTCGCCCGCGACTGGCAGCACACAGTTCGCGGAAACGGGGGCCAGTTCACAACACTGTACACACTGGTGCGCGGAGCGCCGGTATAAAAGGGCTCGAAGAGGATTGGATAGTGATCCTAGCCCTCAGTGTCCAACGCGCAACGCTATGAGTAGAAGCATTCGTCCGTCACGAGGGTGAGGTCGAGTGCACTGCGCTCAGCACCGGGGTGCACAAAGGTGTGGCTGCCATCGTTGATTATGTGAAATCCAGCTCTCAGGGCAGCATTCATTAAGGCCCGGTCACTGGCTTTGATACTAACGCGCCCCCACGCAGTGTGACGAGAGTTGAAGTCCCCGCACAAGACGGAAGCACCCCCGAGGCATCGGCGAGCCGCACAATAAACTGGGCGTCTCACTCGCGCGACTAGCGACATATCTCCGACCTCAGACTGCAGGGTATCACGAGTAACCACTACCGGCCATCAGCGTCGTGATTGCGTCGGAGCATTATTGTGTCCAAACACGGAAAAAAGAGCCCTCAAGTATCCACTTCTTTCCCTTATTCATTAACGAGGGTCTCGTGCTGGCAGACTTGGTGCCTTAGGTTGTATACGAGCGACAGTTGGTCAGCTGCCAGCTCGTAATAAGCTCACGTGCTAAGTGACGCCACAAAGGCTCATAAAAGAGTGTGCCACACTAACCGCCATGGCTACAGATGAGGCTGACTGACACTCCCACGCTTAAATTCGCATATATACCCAATAAAGTGACTGGGAGGATAACTGCCGTGGTAGCTCAGTGGTAGAGCATCGAACTCGTTATTCGAAGGTCGCAGGTTGGGTTGCTGCCCAGGGCAAGTTATTTTTTCACCCACTTTTCTTTCTTCTTATTTACCTGACAATTTGGCCTCATAACCTACCCTATACTTGCCTTGACATTATTTTCTGTTTGGTGCCATTATTATTGTGTCCAAAAACGAGCCCTTGAGAATCCACTTCTTCACCATATATATATATATATATCCTGATGAAGGGAGGACCCCTCCCGAAACTGTTGGGACATAAATATATTTATCCTTGTTGACAACGCTCCCGTTGTGCCATATTCCATACCTTCACGAAGACTAACTGGCCCATTGAAATATTACTCCCACTATATATATATATATATATATATATATATATATATATATATATAATATATATATATATATATATATATATATATATAGTATAAAAAGAGGTCGACAAACGTGCGAAAAACACTAGTTTTACTAACGTTTCGGCAGGTGGGCCTGCCTTCGTCGGAGTGAATCATCCTCTCCGACGAAGGCAGGCCCACCTGCCGAAACGTTAGTAAAACTAGTGTTTTTCGCACGTTTGTCGACCTCTTTTTATACTGCATTTTCCACCGGATCCATTGAATATCACCCCACCATATATATATATATATATTTATATATATATTTATATATATATATATATATATATATATATATTTATATATATATATATATATATACTTATCGGACATGATGGTGACAGCAAAATCATACAAGAGGGTTAACTAAAACAACATGATATACTACTACAGTCGCAGCCAGGAACGGCGCAACAAGTGTCGCTTGTGGGGCTACAACCAAGGCACCTGGGGATTGGATCAACATTAAACTTTCAGGCACACTTGGAGGAGTTGTCGTAATAAATAAAGTTGGAGGTGTTAAACTTAAGTGGCAATATTATTTAGGGTAGAAAGCTTTTAATGGCGACAAATAATTTTAAAAACGACCTTCCAGGTAGGTTTTACTGCCTTTATTTATACTAATAGCCATTCTTAATGGGTAGCTTGCAAATGAACTGTGGCTGCACGGTGCCAACAACCAGAAATAAAACAGCCTGCGTTCAGAGATGCTCACACAAATGGTTAACGGACATTTAGTTGTGAATGTAAAGCAAAACACCGACGCAAGCGAGTTGGTATGCCATATAATAGAGCCATATATACGCCATAGAATACGCTATATTAAAAGTAAGTAAGCACAACAAAAAAGCGCGTGAACAAAAAGACATTATTTACTTTGACGTGAGAAGTCTTCGTTACGTTTTACACTGGTATTTTCCACCTCACACTCTTTGTATTGTGTATTCTAGAGTGGAACATGCGAACAAGACTGCAGCTAGCAGTGACTGAGCAGCACTTATATTTATAAGAACTTCTATCATAGAAGTGGGTGGATGCAGGTGCAAAAAAATGTGCAGGTATTGTATGTCAATTTTTTTCAGACCTTCTCCAACACTTCATAATGTTACTCTTGTCGCTATTCATACATTTTCATTCTCTATCACACAGGATGTTACCGTGAAAAACAAAGGTTAACGTCACAGCGCAGGTGGAAGGTGAATGTATTTAAAAACTACATTGAGAATTGTTGCCTGTCATCCGGCGGAAACTATTCACAGTAAACTTGACTCACTGCATATTTTAAGTTAAACCTTCCTCCTGTGTATCGCAGGCATGCTTTGGCTTAGGAACAAGCGTTTATCAGTATTGCATAGGTAATAAAGACATATAGAGGTTAACATGAGCAGTAATGACCAGCGAATACTAAACATCTCTTTAACTATCACTGCTTTCCTCATTCCCAAAAAATATTATAATAAAAATGAAATTTTCGTGAACGTATGTTATTTGGATTGCTGCCCATAGAAAACGGTGTCGAAAATTAGAATTTGAAAATTTAACTGTTGTACAAAATTTGATGGTACTCATCTAAGTACTCTCTGTCAATGATTGGGAAACATGTTGAAGCAAGTGTGATTTTGTAGAGAAAAACACCGCAATTCTATCATCTCACTCTTTATTTACCACCCCACAATGGGTAGCGGCCCCCTGCTTGAGATAGGAGATTTTAATCTTATTTAGAGTCTCAAACCCCGTGGTGCCAAATGGCATCAGGAGGAAAATGGAATTATCTTGCTTTGCTTCACCGAACTTCTTAATGCCGGCGTATCAGTCACTGAACTGAAGCTGGGTCTTACGTGCCATTCACTGTCAGCTTGAGGAGTAAGTACACTTTCTATGTTGAATTTGGAATCTCTTTAAGGTAAAGTCAGTCTCTGGAGACAGATTCCTTTCGCAGTATTCCCAGTATTGAAGAGTATTTTGAGCAAGTAAGAACATGAAAGCTTGCCAAAGCTTAGAGTATCAACTCGTATTTCCGGAGAAAAATTATGTAGTATGAGATACAGTATTGAATTCAATTAACGGATCTTTTCTATGCATTAAAACTGTTTCTAGAATACCCAAGTGTCGAAAATTCATCTCAATCGACCAGCTCAAAATGCAGCAACAAATCAGCTATCTGTTTTGTTTGTATTGAATTTCCTGACCACGTAACTGGTCAAGCACTAAACGCCTACTGCTTTCGGCATTAGCAAAAAGTAGTAGAAATATTTATATGCTACTACTAGTAGCTAGCATGAGAAGGCAGCTAGCCAGGCACCCAGCTGAAAAGTGTTAGAAGCCTAATTGGTAACGCCGGTGTACACAAAAGGATATCTCGCACTTTTGAAGCCATTGTGACGGCCAGCAACAAATTATAGGAACGAAAGTACTTTTCATATCAGCTTTCGGGTGTTCGTAGTAAAATAAACTACTTTTTAAATGGTGTCGTTATGTCACAACTAAAATTGAACGCATTGAAAAACTAGTGCCCAGATTCATATACTATGGGTATTCGAGATGGTGCAGCGTCTAAGAGCTTTTAACGAAAGCAAACCTTGAAGAACCTTTACAGCGAAGAATAGTTTCCAAAATTAAATTCATTATTCTTCTGTCCCGAGATCGTTTCAAAACTCTTAAGTCACGCTATTTACGTCATCCTTTTCTGCACTCATCGAGAACTAACCACAGTATAGTAATCAGAGAACATTCAAGCCACATTATTATTCGCTACTATTCACTGTTTCCCTCGGCAATTGCTCAATTTAACATGTTGCCGGATAGTTTTGTGATTT